TGAGCCGCGGAGGCGGTGCCCCCTCCCCCAGCCCGCCGCTTTGCGCATCGCCCTCTTCCCCCATCACGACGCGGGAGGGGGTCGGCCGAGGGGGCAGGGACCGGGCGGGCGTGGGAGGCCATCGCGGCCGCAGCCGTAAGGCTGCGTGCCCCTCCCCCGCCGCCTGTATGTCCTGGGCCTGCCCCTGCGCGTGTGTGGTGGGGGGCGGGGCGCCCGTGGGTGGGATCGCTCCCCAGCACGCGGGCACGCACAGGCGGTTTCTGTGAACTTGTCGCCGTTTACAGCTCCCTCCTGCGTGGGACCTAGGGGACCCCGGGAAGGCGGCCAGACCTCCCGCACTCCCCACCCACGGTCTCGCACTGAGACACGCGAGGAGTCCTTAGATGGAGCACTGGGCACCCGCACCTGAGCCGGGCCCGCAGAGGGGCCTCCTGCCCCGGGTCCCTGAAAGCTTACGGCTGGGTGGAGGCCCTTTTAGACAGCAGGGCCCATGTCCCAGGGAGGGATCGCTGTACCTCAAGGTGTCAGCAGAAAAGGTCTGGTGCCCAGGATCCTGACATTTCCCCGTCTCAGGGCACCCCATCCAGGCCCAGGCTCTGAAGGGCTTTTTGTTTTCCTGGGACCACTCTTCTGCCATCACCATGGAACTTCAGCTCCAGGTGTGTTCCTCCACATCCCAGCCAACAAGGGGCTCCCTGGATCCTTACATAGGGCCAGAACACACCTGGGAACCCCAGACCTGGAGAGGCTCTGGTGGGGCTGCAGCGGCTTCCGACCTGGGGGGCAAGCTGCAGAGAAGTGGGGCTTCTGATGGGTGGGCCATGTTGTGGGAGGAGATCAGTTCCTGGCTGCTGGGGCCTGGGAAGGGCACACAGCACCCCCCGGGAGGACACAGGTACTGGAAGCAGGAGTCCTGGCCGCTGGGGGCAGGTCCTGGGCAGTGGCTGGCACAGGCCGCCTGCTGCTCAGCAGCACCTCCTCTCGTATGTGTGAACTTTTCAAGAAAAGTAAAACATTTACTCTATTTCAATGCTACTACTTAGTGGTGGACGGCCAAAGCTGGTAATTAAGGTCCTCAGAGCAATTAAGGCCCCAGCCACGGAGAATTGGGACCCGGAGAACCTGGGGCCTAGAACACGGCCCCAGGGGGAAGCTCCGGCAGGTGAGGCAGACACAAAAGCCAAAGCAAGGTCCTAGGCAGGGGTTGCTCGGAACCCCTGGTCTTTTTCTGAACACCTCCCTCTCTAAAAGTTAGGGTGAAGCTTAAGATTCTAGCTGGGGGCTGTCAGCGATTCGCTGGTCAGATATTAGTTGGGGGTTGACAGTGTGCCAGGCCCTGGGTGGAACTGGAGATACAGCAGCAGTGACCACTAGACCCTGTCCTTGTTCCCAGGAGTTTCATTTGAGTGGGGAGGCAAGCCACAGACAGGTGCATGGTTACAAGCTATGTTAAATGCCATGGAGGGCCAGGACAGACTGGAAGCAGGGGACCAACCTTCCCTGAACACAAGAAGACAACCGAAGAGGAGCAGGGGGTCTTTCTTGCAGCAAGAGCAGGCTGTGCAAAGTCCCTGTGGCAAGCACGAGAGAGCTCAGGAGTGGGAGAAACCAGAACGAGCCTGGGGCAGCCATGCCATGACCCAGCCACAAAGTGGTGGAAGGGGGGGGGTGAGAGCGGGGGCTCCTACAGTGCCCTGTGGGAGGAAGCTGGGTGTTATTCTAAATGCACTGGCTGCAGCCCTCCCCTGCCACTCTCTGTCCTCCAGTCATCTGCAGAATGGAAAGGGCCATAGGCTTTTAAAACAGACATTACTTTTTAAAGAAAGCATCTGTAATCTGACAAAGCCTATAGCCGTCAGGCGTCCCATGGCCCATTTACAGACTGGTGGGGCTACGCGGACACCTGGAGGGGCATTTTCCACCTCAAGGTCTTCCTCACAGTCTTCCGCTCCATCGAGCCCATCTGAGAACCTGCCGGAATTGTCCTTGCAGGGCTCTGTGTCCCCTGGGAGGATGTTCACGGTCTCTTGTGTTCCCAGTGTCCTGTGGGACCCACGCTCGCAAGCCTGGAACATGGACGCCTACTGCACTTCAGTATCAGTCAGCCGAAGACAACTCGGCGGAGGCCGGAGTCCATTCGCTGGAGGGTGGGGACACCTCCATGTGAAGCAGAGGCTTGGCATGGAGAGAGGACATGAAAAGCAGATAATAAGTTGTTATGCAATGAGAAAATCACAGTAAAAACAATGAAACTGAGGGCCAGCCTGTGGCTCACTTGGGAGAGTGCGGTGCTGATAACACCAAGGCCACAGGTTCAGATCCCATATAGGGATGGCTGGTTAGCTCACTTCGGAGAGCTCGGTACTGACAACACCAAGTCAAGGGTTAAGATCCCCTTAAAAAAAAAAAACCAAAAAACAATGAAACTGTGATACATTCACATTGCTTAACAGGAATGTTAAAAAGGGATGAGGCATGGGACGATTTGGAAAATGGCATTAAAATTGCTTAATTAAACAGTACAGAGTGTTCAGATATATTTTTTAAAATATTCCAGGTCTCTGGAAAATTTGGTTCTGCTTTTTGTTATTTCTTTTTTTTTTTTTTTAAGGGCAAAGCTTTTCTTTGACAAAAAGCTGGGAAGGGGAACACATGTGTCGTTGGTTCAGGCAGCAGGAAGGGGACAGGAAAACTCCCCCATGGGAAGGATGCTTGCGGCGTGGGGCTGGGATCCTGCGCTCCTCGCTGGGCCCAAAGCCCCCGACAGCCAGTGGTAACCCACTTCCAGGCCCCATCTCTAGACTGTCTCCCAAGCCAGCCCATCGGGGTCCCCAGCCCTGCCCCCTCAATGGCCACTGCTGGCCCCAGTCTGTTCCCAGGCTGTAATGTGGCTCTCTGAGGGTGGCCACATGTCACATATGATGTTGTACCCATGACCCTACGCATGTGCCTGTCTCCAGGTGGATGGAGAGGAAACATAGTGACCTCAAGGCTCAGAGCAACTCTGGGGCCCTCACACTCTTCTGGGCGTGGCACAGGGAGTGTGGCTTCGAAGGTGGGGGACTGGACTCCTTGCAGGTCACCAATCGATCCCAACCTCCCCTCACACCTCTCAGGGGTAGGAGGGTGCCCAGAACAGTAGGGTCCAACATGGTATTTTTTTTTTCAAAAGGTGACCGGTAAGGGGGTCTTAACCCTTGACTTGGTGGTGTCAGCACCACGCTCTCCAAAGTGAGCTAACCGGCCATCCCTATACAAGGATCCAAATCCTTGGCCTTGGTGTTATCAGCACTGCACTCTCCCAAGTGAGCCACAGGCTGGCCCTCAACATGGCATTTGAAGGGACTGGTATGTCCCAAGTCACCCTGAACTGAGCCCTCTTTGGTGCCCTGTTTCCCTGCTGTAGATGGTCCACTGGTCCAGCGGCTGATGTGCCATGAGCTGGACCAAGGACTGGGTGGGTAGAGTCTTCTCCCGGCTGCCATGGCTGTCTCTGCCTGAGGTCTAGCGGGAATCCCTTCTCCCAGCCAGCTCTGGAGATCTTGCTGCTACCTGCAGCCTGTGAGCCAGAAGCAGGCAGACACCTCTTGCCTCCCCAGGACCGCATCACCAAGGAGCCCAGCCCACTGCCGCCTGGACACCAGGCCCAGAGGCGCTCCCCTCAGTGTGCGTGGGGCTAGAGGCGTCTGGGCCGCTCGCCCACACAGACCTGGGCCCCTACCCTGCTGGGGTACCTCTGGTGACGGGCGTCTTACCCCAGTCCCCCGCCTGCCCTGTCCCAAGCATTCTCCACCACCACTGGGGCTCAAGGGCCACCTGGGAGGGAAGGTAACCCACAGTGGGATGTCAGCTTGCCGGCCACGAGAGATAGCAGCAGTCCTGCCCACACTCTGTCCCCAGCCCCCAGGACAAAGCAACGAGCTGAACGAAGGGCTTTTGTAAATGGGTTTATTTTCCCTTAAACTCACGGTGCCCTGTCTGTATGGCTGTCCAGCAGACAGGCTCCATATAACATAAGGTTCTGCACTCATCTTCAATGCCATGCCTACAAGATCAGCCTGCTCTGCCCCAGCTCATGCCCCAGACAAGCCCCTCTGTGTCCATTTCCCCCACCCCCGGCCCAGCTTGGCCTGGCTCCTCTGCCTCCTGTCCCCACAGGGTGGTGCTGGACCGGAGACAGGAAGGGGACAATACCTGGGCCGTGGGCCTCCACCCCCCACTGCCCCTGTCTCCGGCTGCAAGAATGGGCACAACCCATCCTGCTCACAGAAAGGGTCGCCAGATTCAGCAGATGAAAACACAGCCTGCCCAGTTACCTTTGAATTTCAGACAAATAATGAATCATTTTTAGTATAAATATATCCCATGCAACATTTGGGATATTCCTGTACTAAAAACATTTGTTTATATCTTAAATTCAAATTTAACTGGGCGTCCTTTTATCTGGTGACCTCCTTGGGACAGCGGGAGGTGAGGTGCTGTGGGCCCCTGAGGGGTAGGAGTCGGGTGGAGCAAGGAGAGGGTGGGGACCCAGTTTCTGGGTGAGCCGGGTGCCCTCCACGGGGCTGCAGGACGCTCCCTATGGCAGAAGCCAGGTCCAGGCAGCGCCAGGAGATGCCCCGCACAAGCCAGTGCCCGGTTTCAGGGTAAGTCGTAGTCGGCTCCTGCTGCTGCAACAGAACGCCACAGACCAGGCGCTGATGAACAGCAGAAACTTAGTTCTCACAGTTCCAGAGTCTGGGAGTCCTAGATCGAGGTGCTGGCAGATTTGGTGTCTGGTGGGGTCCCCATAGACTACACCTTCTCACTGCGTCCTCACCTGGTGCAGAGAGAGAGAGAAAGAGAGTTCTGACTCATCTCTTCTCGCAAGGCCCTAATCCCTCATGGGGGTCCCACCCACATGACCCAACCACCTCCTGAAGGCCCCACTACCTAACACTGTCACCCAGTTGGGGGGTAGGATTTCAACATATGAATTTGGGGGGACAAAACAGCCAGATCCCAGCAGGTGCTCACCCCAGGAGCACCTCAATACACTTTGAAATAGCATGTACCTGGGGAAGGGGGTGCTGAGCTGCAGGGGCAGGTGTGTCTGTGCATGGCCAGCACCGTGCGAGTGGCTCACCCCTCCCCCCAAGGCTGACCATATTTGGTCAATGTGGGGAATGGCTTCAACAGGAGAAAGTGCCATAGGCTATCCTGAAGCACAGAACGTCTTAGACCTCATTCTGCAATGGTGGGGAAACTACAAGACCCTTGAGAGACGGAGCAGGTGGGTCTCCTTTGCTCAGTGTCTGGTAGACAGTAGGCACCCCAAACTGTGCTGGGGGTGACCTCACACCCTGGGGCAGGGGTCCTGGTGGCTGGCTCACTGGCGAGCACCCCATGTCCTTCCCAAGGGGACTCAGCCTGGAACTCATGACATTTCATTGTCTAGAGTTTTAACTTAGCAGTAATATTTTTAAAGTTCCGATATTAAATGATTAAGATCTGTGACTGTACTGACTGCAGAGTCATCCTGTTTTATTGCAGCTGGGTGAGGAGTGCCGCTGCTCGACGGTGTCTAGGTGCCTCCGCAATCACTTCATCTGGGAGTTGCCCTTTCTTGACTTTGGTCCACCCCCACTGTCATCTGAATAGACTGTGGGGTGGGGGTTGGGGGTGCAGCACAGCTCCTCTGTCCCCAGGTCTGGTCCCTGGATACTGTGAAGAAGCCCCAGCCTGAGTGGTGGCCCTTTCCCACCCCCCAAGGACATGCTGTGGAGGGGATGCAGGCTGAGACTGGGCCTGGGGAGGGTGCTGCGGAGCAGCTGGGCTGTGTGGGGACCCATGGGTCACCTGGGGGAACGGAGGCTCAGGGCCCTTCTCAGGCTCTGCAGACATATGGTCTGGGTTCAAATTCCAGCTCCACCACATCCTGGCTTTATGACCTCAGACAAGTGTCTTGACCTCTCTGAGCCTTAAATCTTCTCTGGAAAATAAAATTTGCATCTAATAAAAAGTTACCATAAACTGGCAGCTCCTCAAACAACTAGAAAAGGAATTACCCTGTGACCCAGCAATTCCCCTCCTAGGTGTGTGCCCAAGAGAAATGAAAACATATGTCCACACAGAAATTTGTGCTCGAGCATCCATAGCACCGTTATCCACAATAGCCAAAAGGGGAAAGCAACCCAAATAACCAACAGACAAGTAGATAAGCAAAATATGGTCTATTCTCACAACAGAATATTATTCAGCCATTAAAAGGAAGGAAATTCTGACGTTAAGTAGATGAACCTTGAAGACATTACATTTGGTGAAGGAAGCCAGACATGGAAGAGCAAATACTATGTGATTCCATTTGTGTGAGTTTCCATAGTAGGTAAACTCTTAGAGACGAAGCAAAGATAGTGGTTGCCCGAGGCAGCGGGAGAGGGGAATGGGGAAAGGTGGCTGCTAGTCAGTAGGGGCTTTCTTTTTGGGGTGATAGAAGTTGGCTGGAGATCATTCCACAACTCTGTGAATTCACTGAAAACCGCGGATTGTGCCCTTTAAACAGGTGAACTGTACAGTGTGAGTTGTATCTCAATATGGCTGTGAAAGCCACAAGGTAGGATGGGGGCTGGCACCGCAGACCCCTGTAGGACCATAGCCTGGGGTTGTGGCCCCAGTGAGAGACGGGCAGGCCTGGAGGGGGCTGTGCCTTGGATGGAGGTGGGTTCAAAGGGGAAGCAGAGCCTCAGCTTGTCCCTTGGGGTCCTCAAGGACTCCGGGGTCCTCAAGGACTCCGAGGCCCTGGGGGGCGGGGGGAGGCTGTCCGTGCAGTAGCATCTGGCCTGGGCCAAGGCCTCCTGGCCGGGCAGGGGTGAGTGCATGGAACTTCAGCCTCCCAGCCCAAATGAGTCACAGCAACCTACTTGGAGGGCCTGAGGGGGGCAGGGAGCTGAATCCAGGGGTGCAGCCCCCTTGGTGTGCAGCCGGGTGGTATACAGGGTACACACCTGGGAGCCCCTCCCGCCTGGGCTGCTGAGTTCCCCCCAGGGCACTATGAAGGGGGTGGGGGGAGGGTGACCTGGGGAGAGGAAATGGCGGT